AGTGTTCTATGGTCTGCTGAGGTAATAATATAGTGTAAAGTGCATAGAGCTTGCTGCTGAGAGGAGACATGCGCTATACAAATGCTATTTATAATAAAATAATAATATATAACATTTATATAGTGCATTTCCAAAAAAGTAGCTCAATGCGCTTTACATTGGAATACCCATTTTTCAAAACCTTTCTTACTACTTCCTTTCTCCTCATGCAATATACATTAATGCACTCACTCACACACACACACACACACACACACACACACACACACACACACACACACACACACACACACACAAACACACACACATACACACACAAACACACACACACATACACACGGACTATTTTCATTCAGACATAGGCCCAGAACAACTATAATTTTAAAGAATAACGTTAAAAGCTTATGAAGGATAGGCCTGTAGGAACAGAAAATGCTTAAAATGTCTTTTGAAGCTATCAAGTGTTATTGTTTGTCTTAGTTCCATGGGTAATCTGTTCCACATAGATGGACCAAGATATGAGAAAGATCTCTCTCCATATGATTTGTGAGGCAGCGTGGTAGAATCAGGCTCCTGTCAAAATAATGAAATCGAAGAAAACAGTTTTCTCACTGCTTAGCAATTTTTTTTAAAATTTTGTCTTTTGGCTCAACACCTTTTATGTGCATTTACAAACAAATTCCTTTGAGGATTTCACAGAAAACGTGTATTAAAGGCACAAAAATATAAATTTACAGTTTCCATGGACTCTCCAGCTTTGGAATTTACCAAGCTTTGGCGGCCATTTTCTCGCTAATCTTGCCTCTTAAACCAGGTGACCCCCTCCTCCTTCAATCCAAAATATATCCACTTCTATTGAAAATGGATAGGTAATTTTTTCATTGAAAGCAAGACAAATGAACAAGCTTTAAGATGATACCAATAACTCAATATGCCCAAAAATTGACAAGAGCCTGATTCCACCACGCTGCCTCACATTTGTATAATTTGTTATTATTCTTCAGGACAAAGACAGACAAGACCTACAGCAGAAGCCTATGCCGTTCTGAGTCTCCAGAGGCTGGTGCTCCGGACAGAAGAAGCCAGTGAAGGACGGAGTGACCGTTGACCCTTGCATCTGGAGGTCACCACAGGTCAAGGCCTCGAACTTGCTCAGCTCCGAAACCTGGATCACAAGGTCGTTGAGGATGACTGTGATGAAGGTGGTGCAGGAGTTGAAGAAGTTTCTGTCTGCCAGGATGTCGTAGTAGAGAGAGTAGTCCACGCGCACCTGTGCCACGGAGATAGACAGACAAATTATACTGTACCACACAGACAGACAAATTATACTGTACCACACAGACAGACAAATTATACTGTACCACACAGACAGACAAATTATACTGTACCACACAGACAGTCACACAGACAGACATTACAATACATGATTATACAATGACCTGAGTTTCTTACTTGCTGTGATATATATTATATATATATATATATATACATACATACACCAAAAAAATAATTTATATACAATGACCTGAGTGTCTCACCTATATATAATGACCTAAGTGTCTTACCTACTGTGATATATATATATATATATATATAGATATATAGATATATATATATATATATATATATATATATATATATCCAAAAAAA